TATCTATCTATCTATCTATCTATCTATCTATCTATCTATCTATCTATATGCTGCCCATCTCTGCTATGAAGCAACTCTGGGTGGCTTACAAGTTATAAAACAAATAAAAAATAGTTAAAAGATTAAAATGACACAAATCGCAATATAATTATTAAAAACTATATTAAAACAACAGCTAAGATAGCTAAGAAACGGATGGGAGTGTACCTAAAGTACTAATATCACTGGTATCACTTTGCAAGGTAGCCCCAGCTAATTTTTCTCACTAACAGATACAGATTCCATTCTTCCATTCTGAAGAAAAAATCAAGTTTGCCTGGAAGTCATATAGTAGCATTTATTATAAGTAATCCTAAACTTATGACCATGTTGACTATGGAGTTATGATCGTAAGTGGTGGTGGTCTTTAAGCGGGTCACCACGTTTGTGCTCAATTTTACAACATTTTTGCAGTTATTAAATGAATTCTGCAGTCGTCAAGCAAATACCATCATTGTTAAGTGAGCTTGTTCTCAGCGATGTTTTTTTTTTTTTGCTAGCAACTAGAAGCAAACTAGTCACTTGCCAAAAAACACCAAAAAGAGCAGTCACATGACATAGGACACTAACAGCCATAACTGCCGAATGCCAAAAACGTGATCACCCAATTGTGAGGTGATAATGATGCAGTCATTGGAACTTCAAACAGGTGGTAAGTAGGAAGTCTGTGCTAACTTTGAATGGTTGCTAAGCAACTGGTCATTAAGCAAGGACTACCTGTATAGATTTCCTTTCCTTAATCAAAATATCTATGTTTACTCATGACAGAAGTATCCTGTATATATGAGCTTGAATACAACCAATCACAGTCCTCCATTCTCTATACTCTCTCCATACTCCTAAACAGCTGTTCCTGTAGGTAATGGATTCATACAATGGTATAGACTATGACATAGGAAGATGTCAAAGAAATAAAAATTTGGCATAATTTTTTTGGGGGGAGGTGCTTTTAGTAACTAACCTTTCTTTATTAATTATTCTACATGTTTGATCACTAAGGTACGATTTAGAGACTAAAGTCTTGATGTCATTTGAATCCAATACAATTGCATTTTGAAAGTGAATGTACCTGGGCATGGAGAATTGGGAGATGTATTTGGTAACCGAAAAACATAATAAATATATGAAGTAAGAAGATTATTTCTTCCATGCTGATCTTGGTTTCCTTCAAGGTTTTTGTGAAGTCTGTTTACAATAGAGGCCATGGCTTCAAAAGATGCTTGACCTAGATTGACTAGAAAGAATATAAAGAATTAGATATCAAGCTGTTTATTTCTACTGACAAACTATCTGAGTGAGTGAGTGAGTGAGTGAGTGAAGGGAAGGAAGAATAGTTATCAAATTCAAATAATCCAACAGTAGCTTAAATATTTGTTGTATGAAAATCAATGGAGATGGCAAATGAATTCATTCAGCTCCGCCATAACGTCATATGGTCGTTGAACAATAGTCACAACTTAAAGACTACTAGTTCTAAAATTATCATTTATCTTTAGTTATGACTTGTAGTTGTCATGATAGCCAAAATAAGTTTCTTCCCAGAAGGTATGTTATTTTATAGTTAATTCCAAAATCTTACAATAAAAGTCAATATTTAAAATTTATCTGGATCTTTAATCTGTTTATATCTTTCCTAGATTGAAATCTTATTTAATTTTTATTTATTTATTTATCAACTTTGTTTGCTGCCCATCTTGCTGCAAGGAGACTCTTTTTGCTGCTTATTTCAAATTCTTTCAGTTAAGCTTGTAGTTCATTTTTATTTTGTTCAGAGCTGAAGACAAACTCACCCAATGAAAATTTTCCAGACTTGCTCTGAAGATCTCTAATAGCTTTAAGATATTAGAGACAATTTCTGAAGTGATTTAAAATGAAAATATCTATAAATTTAACTGTACCTATGGCATGTTAAATTATAGTGGAATAATTACAACAAAGAGAATTTATATTACAATAAAGAGAATTCATATCATATTTTCACTTAAAAACATAAGCCTAAGTGAAATACCTATTTGGCCCGCAATAATAGGAGGTCTTACAACCAAAAGAATTAATTTGTCAAGCAGAAGATGGAGAAACCGCACCACAGGCTCCAACTGAGATGAGTTCAAAGCTGAAATGCTGCTCTTTAATTCATTTTCCAAGTTGTTCTCCATAATTCTCATGTCACCTATCCGTACAGGGAACATATGTTCATCCAGGGCATGAACAAGGGCAAAGAACTTGTCAAGATAGGGGTCCTAAATAAAACAAATAATAATAATAATAATATTTTTAATGTTTAGCTATTCAAACTAATGTAATCAAGGCCAGAATTTAAAAATCATCAAATGATTCAAAGTGCAGATTGTGCAAAGAGGCAGAAGAAACAGTAGACCATATAATCAGTTCATGCAAGGATATTACACCAATTATAAACAATAGCATAATATAGTCACCAAAATGGAACATCTCTAAAAAATTATCATGTGCTAGTAATGAAAACACTGGTGGGGACATAGAGCTGAAAAAGTAATCAAGAATGAGCAGGTTAAAATATTGTGGCATTTCTTCATATAAACTGAAAACTCTTGGTTTATAACACACCAGATTTAATTGTGGTTGAAAAGAGAAAAGTATGGATAATTGACCAGGGGATAGAAGAATAGAAAACAAGAAATTGAAAAAGATCACAAAGTATCAGGATCAGAAAATAAAAACTGAAAGGTTTTGGCATAAACTGGTTGTGGTGGTCACAATTTCCACCTGACACTTACAAAAGGCCATACTGCTTATAGATCCATACACCGCTTGCACCAATACATTACAATATCCTAGGTTCTTGGGAAGAACTCATTGTGTATCAGGGCCAACACCAGTTAAAGAACTGGTAATTGTGATTTCACATTTTTGTATTTTAGCACCAATCGATTGCAAAAGGCACTTTACCTGGAGCAGCTTATAACCTGTGACAAAACCTTTAAAACAACCTGTTCCAGGTCCTTAGAAAAGGCTTGATAGGTGGTAAAAATGCCAAATCCAGTCTTTGATACAGGCAGTCCTCGCCTTACAACTATTTGTTTAACCATTATTTGAAGTGTCCGATCCTTACACTTATGACCAACTCCCTCTAGCAACCCAGGAACAGTATATACGCCTTTGGCATAGATAACAGGAAAAGTACAGTGGAACTGGAGGGAATCAGAGAGTACATGAAGTCAAAGCATGCTTCCACTTCTTTTTCCTTCTGTCTTTTTCTGTCACCCTCCAGCTGGTCTCTCTCCCTCCCCCCTTCCCTTTTTTCTCCTCCACTATTTTATGCTTTCTCTCAAAGTCACCCTCCTCTCTCTCTTACACACATATGTCTTCTCCCTGTTTTTGCAGTTTCCTAGAGAAGCAGGCACCACCAAACTGATTACTGGAGAAGGTCAGCTTCAGCTGTGCTTCCTGACCATTAAAACCATCAAAATGATTCCCCTGAGAGGAAACAGATCCATTTTCATATTCTTTCTATCCATGCCAAAGGCACAAGTGCTCTTCCTGAGGAGAGAAGTTGACACCAGGAACCACCACAACTGAAAAAGCAACCCTCCCCAACTGTTTCTTTGCTGGGAGATGAAGCTTCTCTACAAACTTATTTCAGTAAATCCCTGTTACTCCTTTGCAGTCAACTGTATAGACATAGAGACTTATAATACTTGAATTTTGGCAAGTGCCAAAGTGGAGAGGCAGCGGTAACGTAAGGATTGTGGGCTGTCTCAGGTAGGTGAAGGAGACACAGTGCAAGCCAGGCATGAGTGTTTCTCTGCTCTGACACTGAAACTCCGCCTTGTTGAAACCCAAGCGGAAAATTTGGACTTTCCAGGGAAGATTGAAAATAGGGTCCACATGATTGTTCGGCACTGTGCAACTATTCATAAGCACCAGTGGGTTGTCAATTCCCAAGACTGCAATCACAGGACGGGCAGAGATGAGACAATTTGTGATGGTTGAAAGTGGGTTATAGGTCATAAAGCACTCTTTCCAAGCCGTCAAAATTTCAAACAAACATTAAATAACCGGTCATAAGTCGAGGAGTACCTCTACACCCCATAATATTAGAGCAACCTTATTCACTGTTACTTTCTTTATGTTACGGGATGCCTCTTAATACATACCTGTGTATGAATGGTTGACACAGCAATTATTTCTACATTAAAAACTCCTTTATGGTTGTCAACCCATTTCATTCCAGGCAAAGGCACCTGACAAAAAACAAAACATAATAAAGTGTAGGAGATATCCAGGCTGACCCCGAGCGAGGGGTCAAATGCGCCGTCGGTCTCGAATCCCTTCGCTTCCACAAGTTACCTTGAATTCTACTGACTCTTATCTACCGCCAATTTGTTTTGACCATTAGTAGTTCAGATTCCGTTCAGATTATGCAGAAAACATAAGCTGGCAATAAACCCATATATTCATTTGAACTGTTTGGTCTTCTGATTTTTCCATCCTTCACATATATAGTAGTCAGTTATGACTTTCATTATGGTGAAGGAATAGTTAGCAAAAACAGACATTTTAATCAACAAATGTGGGTAAAAATGTTTCTAGAATTTACTTTCAAAATAGATATTCTTAATATTTGGGATATTTGTTGCTTAACCCACTTTACTGAGTCAAACCCACTATAGGAAGTTGCTAACCTCTGGAGAAAGTACAGAATAAGCTTGTGGTGGCTTCTCCAAAGAAACAGGCAGGCAGAACTGGCCTGTTTTTAATCGTCCATTTTGTAGCATCGGTATCCACTTGAATGGGAAAAAAGAATCAAAACATCATTAGCGCCTACCAGATATACTGGAAGTCTTTACTTATTCACTTACCTGCTTCAATTTTTATAGCTACCCATCTCACACCCATTACTCTGGGTTGGTCAAGTTAAAATAACCCAAACAAAGCCATGTAAAAGAATTAAAACAATTAACCAGAAATGTACAAAAACTGACTTAAGCGTTATTCCAAATTAACATGTACGGAAACAGTATCAATCAAAATGAATTCTGCAATGCTGAAGGTCAACATGAAGGCAAGAAGGAATGGAAGACGTTTTGTAGCAGCTGTTTACCGTGTAGCCAACAGGAGTCTCAAGTGGGGTGTTTTGTTTCTGTTGGCAACTGACATGGTAGAAAGTGAAAAGCAAGTGATGATGGTCCGTTAGAGTAGCAGGAAGCTTGATCTTGATTTCTTCATGGAAATCAGGAGATCTGTTTTGAGGTAAATAGAGATTTTATCTGTAAACAAAAAGCTTAGTTTGATTGGTTTATAAAGCAGCCCTATATCCTGCTTTTTCCTTGGAGACGGTTCGCTTCCCATCCGAGAAGTTTCTTCACTTCTGTTGACTCAGAATTGAGGAAGCATCTTGGTTGAGAAGTGAAACGCTGTCAAGAAAAAACGAACTCCAGTTGCCTTTTGAGAAAGAACTTTTGGGACTGCAACAGACAAATTGTCAACAATTCCAAAGTCATTCTGGCAATAGATCATAAAGTTACACGCGACATTCTGCTATCCCTCAATCAACACTACACTTGATATCCTCTCACTGAAGGTAGTTTTCGAGATTATTTACAACAGCTTCGGAGCCAAAGCTCTTCCTGGTAGATCATATGGCCTCTTTGGGATTCTTTCCAAACAAAAACTTTCCCATGAAACAAAGCTAATCTTGGCAGTTCTCCCTCTCCGAGGTTGGAGTGCTCTCTCTGACCTGGGAGGAAAACCCAGAAAATCTTGTGGTCCGTGGAAGACCTTTCAAGGAGCTCCGGATTGTAGTTTTAATTGCTTAAGGCTTCTTCCCACAGTGTTCAATTATTGTATTGCATTAGTTAAAGAGAACCTTTTCAGATAAAATGTCAAAAGAAAGATTTCCTGGGATAATTTCCTATTTTGAGATTTTTATTTTTTTCTATGGGATGATGTATTTTCCCTACATTCATCTGCATTTGTTTAGTTAGTTAACTATTTCAGAAAATACTACAAGGTTTTTAGATGTACCCAATACTACAAGATGACAGATTCACTCTTACGATTATTCTCCAGCTCCTGCTCACAACAATAAATATTTCATTGATTTGTTCTACTAATAAACGTTCTCCTTTCTTCAGCCTCCTAATCATGTGCAAAGGGAGAAAAAGGCTTCTATTCCTTTTCATACGATATCACATATGCAGAAGATGTGACCTCTCTGTGTGCATAAGCCATAATTTCAGCAATTCAGACCATCATGATTATGGGATTATGAAAGGAAAAGGCGTATGAACAAGATGCTAGAGATCAGATACATGTAGTTAGTCCTAGAATTACAACCATTTGTTCAGCAACTCTTCAAAGTTACAGGGTAGCTATGCTTGGTCTTCAAAATTACAACCATTGCATCATCCCCATGGCCACATGATCAAAATTCAGATGCTTGGTAGTGTGCTGCTTGCAGGGGCACCTCAGTTCCCTCCATCTGCCTAGATCTTCCTTATCTCTGCTCTTTTGGCTCTTTTGTTGACCCTGCCAGCCTACACTCGCTGGTCCTCCCGTGCCCTGCTATCCTTGCTGCCTCCAACTGACTTTCATTATGTTTTTCAGTCACTTTTGATGAGGTGTGCCTGGACTGGCCTCGTCAAACAAGGCAGCTGCTGGATACACTGGGCCTTCTTCCCTTGTCCAAATCCAACATGGCCTTATCCAAATCGCATGTGGCCTTCTCATCAGGTTTTGGAAAGCAGGTGCACAGAAGAAGGCCCTAGCAGCATCAGTGCAAAAGACGGTCCCTTTTAGCTGGGCCCTTCTTTCATGCTGTACATCTAAGGCCTTATTTTGTGCATTCTAAAAAGCCGCACACAATTCGGATATGAGATGGGCACCGCTTCTGGAAGAAGGCCTGGAGCAGCCAGCAGCTGCCTCACAAAGACCAGGCTGAGCGTGCCTTATCAGTAACCAGAGAAAGATGGCAAAGGTCAGCCAGGGGCAACAAGATTGGCAAGGAGGCAGGGCCAGAGAGCAGAAGGCAGCAAGGCCAGTAGAGATGGCCTAATGCAAGACAGCCAAAAGGGCAGAGATCTGAGGGAAATAGGAGAGTAGGCGGAATTGAAGACGAGGTAGTCCCTTACCTTACCAAGACTTGGTAAGGCTGGGTGGAACCAATTCAGGAATGGCTTGACTTGGGGTGGGTCCTTAGCTAACAACCAGTGGGATATGGTTAACAATGGCAATCGAGATTACTGGGATTGCAGCATTAAGTGATGTAGTCACATGACATCAGGCTTTACAGCTGCATCCCTTAGCGACAGAAATTCCAGTCCTAATTGCCATTGTAATGCAAAGACTATCTGTGCTTACATGATCATGGCTAGACAACTACAGAATCTCTGCTTCATTATAATCAAAAGTATGAAATTCTTGTTATCCCGAGATCATCTTTGTAACATATGAGTACAGAATATGTTTTGTTTCTGATCTCACAATATGATATACAGTGTCGAATAAAATAAAAAAGTTGCTTTTCAGAAAGTTTCTGCTTTTTACCTGTTATGGTAAACAACAGCTGTATAAGCTTCTTTTGAAAATTCAGCACAGCTAGATTTTCCAAAGATTACCTATAAAAATAAATGATCAAATGTATTTTCAAAAAACACTCATTATTCTTCAGAACGGGAAAATTTACTAAGTCAAAAATGTGTATCAAGATATCTATTTATGTGGCATATACTTATAACCTTGAAAAATATAATTTAGTTTATATTTCATATAATCTAGTTTATATCAATACTGACTTGTTAAAAATAAGAATATTGGCTGCAGAAAGTTATTAATATTTCAAAAGAAAATATTGTATATCTGCTGCATATTGAGTGGTGTGAACTATGTGCAGAAGTATGTAATTATTACTCATTTAATCACCAAGTGACTCAAGGTGGCTTTCAAGGGTTCAGATGCCATAAATAGTAAAACCAAAATCAGATAAAACTTGGATCACAAACATTTCAGCAAGTTAACCCTATTAAGTTACAAACGGAAAAGTGCAGAAATGCCGTTGAGTAGATTTAAAATAACACGAAGGATTAAAAACAAAATAAAGTGCGAAGAAACAAATTCTTGAGTAACTAAAAAGTCTGAGAAACCAGTGATCCAGTCTGATTCTGTCTCAGCAGGAGTACAGCCTGGTATAGCACAACATTTTGATGTGCATCTAATGTATAAAACACAGAATAGATAATTTACAGCATCAAAATCATAATGGAACAAATACACACAAACACACACACACACACACACACATACCGGCATTGCATTGCTTGGATCCTCTCCAAACATAAACTGCACTTTTACAGTAATATTCCGAGCAGATCCTTGGCGATTGGCAAAGTTAAGGCTTTGTGGATAGACATATAGAATATTTCTACAAAAAAAGAGAGAGAGAGAAAAGTATAAAAATTACATAGTGACTAGGTTATCTGAGTTATCTGTGGCTGATGAATTATAAAACCATGCATCAAATAATAGGAGATGGAAACTACTTAGCCAGAGATAATAAAAAGCTGCAGGGACAAATAAAAGTTAGCTGACACATAAGCCTGTAATTAGTTAGTTGATTAGGACCCCATGAAATCAATTGGGTAAATTAGGGACAACTTAATTCTTATTGATTTCAATGTGAACTAAGCATAGCTAACTTTGATTTATTCTTTGGTTCTGTTTCCAGGTATCTGTTGAATGGGGAGAGAAGGATAAAAATTGATCACCCTCGATAAAAGCTGGCAGTGATAGAATTACACTTACGTTATGAACCAGTGATTCCCTTAAATTAACACTCAAATTTAAATCTACAACGAAGATGACATAGCCCTCTCCTTATTTCCTGAAACTATTATAAACATCTATTTATTATAATATTTTTTCCATAGAGAGAATATTATTATAAAAGCTTTTGATTCATGCCTTTTCATGCCTGTGAATTATTTTATTCTACAATATGTGCAATATACAAATCAACCGACCACAAACATAGTGGCTACTTCATGTTGTTTAATCCACAATATCAAAACAGACTAAATTTGCTCTTAATAAATTAGGCTGGAAGTTTAGTAATCTTTACATTCAATATTCATGCATTGGCTTAAAAATCTGTACAGATAGAATGTTACAATGACTATTGTACTGGGAAGGAATGGCACTATGGAGCACATTGGAAATATCATAGAATTTCAAATCAGATGGGAAAATTTATATTTTAAAAAACCTCCTTGTGAAGTTTCCATCTTTGTTGAAAAAAATTGCCAATTCTTTTGTTGTTTGTACACATTTTTCATATAACATTAACAACAACCAGATCTCATTATTTTTTTCAAAAATGCTAGATAGTTTTATTAACTCTCATTTGCTGAATGATAGATGACCTTGCCAGTCAAAATAATAAAGGAATAATTATATCCATATTTGAAGCAAAAATAGGATTTGAAGATCCTCGCTAATTATATATCCCAAAGATGTGGACCACTGCTCCTGTCCTTCATGACTACCAGCTTATATGCTTAGGGTAGACTAAAAAGAAAGACCTCTGTTGTGCGTCTTGAACAGCATGCGTGACGATAAATGAATGGACATGGCAAGGTCTGTATCAGTTATTCCAAATTGCTCAAAGCTTTCAAAGTTAAAATAGCACAGCTGGCATAATATGTGTGCCATGTAAACTGACAGCCACATTCACGTTGCCAAGTTCTATATCAACTGAACATTCCTAGTCATCTTTAAAGGTAACCCTTATTTACACTTAGCATAACATTTGCTATCAGGAAATGTTCATCAGATGGGCTCAAAGAGCCTAAACAGGACACAGGTTACATTCATTCAGGTTTAATTATCAACTACCTCAACTTGAATTTTTTTTTTTAGGACTGAACATGCTATATGTATTTATAGGCATACTAGAACTCTCCCAGAGAAAGACAAATAGCAAAGGGGGACATTTCTTTTCCGAACTAGAATAAGCAGAAAGAACATGAAAATTATTCTAGTATTAGTCTTTATGATTTCTCTAGTAATTTCAGGTAGACTAGATGATCACTTGGAATCAGCAACTCCTGAGCCTAAGTCAAGATTTGCTATGTCTGATGATGTGCATTTGCTGGCCACTGGACTACTCCAGCTTGGGCGTGGCCTTCAAGACTTTGTGATCAAAACCAAAACCCAGATGGATGACATCTTTCAAAGGCTTAACATTTTTGACCAATCTTTTTCTGAGATCTTGCAACAAACCAATGAAATGAAAGAAGAAGAACAACAGTTAAAAAAAGCCACAACTAGATTGCAAGCAACTGAGGAAGAGATGAGAAATGAATCTTTGCAGCTTAATTCCAAAATAGACGTCCTTTCCATTGAGAAGATTCAGCTGAAGAACAAATTAGGGAAGCTTGAAGAAAAAATAACTGAACTTGTACAGACCCAGCTTGATATCCATGAGTCAAGAGAAATTGCCTCACTTAAAGTAAGTAGAAATGAAACATACTGAGTATTGCCAAAGTAAATTGTATTCTGTGTAATGAGGTAATTCAAAAAGATTTAGTCATTCCTGTTGCTGCTGGACTAATGTGCTGCATTTTTAAGGAATAAAACCAGCTTTTTTCTTAATGCTGCTTTATTATGCTTTGAATGCTACCCATAGCCATTAAGGGAATATATAGCATGTAAAAAGTCTTAAAAATAAAGAAAGTAATGACTGCTTCTTGAAAAAAATTTGCTCTGGCAGTTTGCCTTATTAACACACAATGTAAGTTACTACTTTTATTTTGAGTTTGGCATAACTGTGAACATTTAGACTAAAAGATGTAATTAACAAGTGATAATTTTATGCCAAAAAAAAAAAAAAGGATAGTAAAGTTAGCAAACTGCCTTTTCCTTCACCCTATAATGCTAATAGGTATGTGCTTTTTAAATAATTCATTTGTACAGTTCATAAGGAAGAAATTGACATTCCTTCACTTTTAAAAACCTACAGCTCAATCCCAGGCATAAAAATTGCATCTTAAAGTTGTTAATCTGATTTTATATACTGAAGTTGGCCAGTAAAATTTGAAAGATCATTTTAAAAATAAGAATACAACATTTGCTTACTTCTACAGCCAGCTTCAATAATACATTTCTGAGATACAGTGTAATTATGGTACATGCACTAATATTTTAGCCATTAGCTGAAATGGACTAGAACTGTACAGTTTGAGTTAGCAGACCATACTGTTTACAGCTCTGAAATGTGAAAAGGCTGTCCAAAACTGAACATATAAATAAATAAAAACAATGCTTTCCTGAAAGATATACCACAGATAGCACTTGGAGACAATGCAGTCAACAATTGAATAATATCCACTGCACTTTGTGGACAACTTTTTAATATGATTATCAAATTTATATACCAATCACTGATGCAGAAGGAGAGGAGGCTGCTGCATTTTGTGGTCAAGTTCAACCTAAAATCAATAGAATATTCAAGCAGCAGGCTGGAGAGTTGAGTGCCAAAGTTGGAAATACTAAGAAGAAATATATAATTGGACTGAATCGCCTAGGAAAGAAAAATGAAGCAGGAGAACAATTTCTGGCAATCCAATGAGTTCTTTATCAGCAGTCTTCAATCAAAATGATGTCTATATACTGTACATGGATTTTACTTGAAGATGCACACCGAAATCAAATTGATTACATTATTAGTACAAGAAGATGGAACAGCTCAATTATAATGACATGGCTAGGATTGATTGTGGAATAGATCAAAAACTGCTCATGTCCAACTCAAATTAAAGTGGAACTACTAAACCAATATGGATTCCATGATATAATCTTCAGCATATATTCACCATTATCAAGGAGAACATGAGGAACTGCTTTGAAGTCCTGAACTTCATTGAGAAAACCAGAAGAATAAGGAATCTAATCAAAGTAAGTTTTTAAGGATGAATTTGAAGAGATTGCCAAGGCTGAGAATCAGAAGAAAGCAAACTGGATGTCAGAAGAAATGGCAACAAAACAGAGAGAAAAGTCAAAGCAGAAAAAAATTCAAGGAGAAACTGTCCATGAATTAAAAGCAGTATTATGACGACAACTTTAAGCATATAGAATATGGGCACAAAAAAACCAAAATCTTCCAAAGGATCTCTAATCTCAGGAGTTTCCTGTCTCAAATTAGTATGCTAAGATTAGAAAGAGGTCAGTCAAAAGGAACCTTAGCAGAATGTGCAAACTGTCACATAATATACAGTATTTTATGTGTTTCACAATGCTTAGAATTATCCACTGCAGATTACAGCCCAACATGGAAGATGAGCAGGTTCAAAGTATTGTTTTGGAACATTAGCTCTCTTTAGTGGTGGGATTCAAAAAAAATTATTACCAGTTCTGTGGGCGTGGCTTGGTGGGCATGGCAGGGGAAGGATACTGTAAAATCTCCAGTCAGAGGTGGTATTTGCCGGTTCTCCAAACTACTCAAAATTTCAGCTACTGGTTCTCCAGAACTGGTCAGAACCTGCTGAATACCACCTCTGGCTCTCTTGAGAAGACAACAATGCTAGGAAAAGGGGAAGGAAAGAGACAAGATAACGGCAATAAAATAGATAGACTTGATTACAGAGATAATGGATAGTGTTATTAGAAGACTTGAAGGGTCATATGGGGACTGATTATTCTGAAGAGTGTTACATAAATGATCAGCAATTTGATGACACATAATCTATCAATCAAACATACTGTATGCTATCCTCATTTTTCATCCATAAACTTCAGAAGACTGCACCCTAGGGAAAGCTTGCTATACTAGCCTATGTCAATTTCTTAAACTTGATGCCTTCCATGTATATTGGACTATGGTTCTTTTCAACATACATTGAGATGACTTAAGGACACACTGGCCAAGAAATGATAAAAATTTTAATTCGGTGTGCCTGGAATAGGCCAAGTAGCGAAAACCATTTTATTATACGTATATATTGAATATAATCTTTATTAATTTTGGTCACAAGAGTAATAATTAATAGGGAAAGAGAATAGAAAAAAAGAATATACATACATACATACATACATACATACATACATACATACATACATGGCGAGAGTTCCAATCTTCATTATAAGTATAAACAAATTTAGTAATATTCACCCATGTAAGATTATAGTGTAAAAAAAGTACAGTGATTTTGGTAGAAATGAGTGGGAAGATGGGCAACAGAACACTCAACTGGAGACTCAATTTTTAAACATGTGCCCAATGATGGATATATTTAATGGATTTTTGAGACAGCTGGCATAAGGATTTCTACATGGATTGTGATGGCCAAACATTTATTAAAACATAAGGCAATAGTTTTGAGAAAACTGATTTGCCCATCTACTTGGAGAAGCACTTCTGGTTTGGCAAATAACACTAGATAATGAGTTTATCTGGTTAAGCTCTTGTATAAAATCTCTGCTGCTTATACTTCTGCAAAAAGTAATATAGATATATTTTATGCTTCAGATTATGATCCTTTAGGTCTAAGCTATTGTTTTCGCTTTCTCTATAGAATTTTGTTGAACAGCAAGATGGCCACCTCAAACACCTTCTCAAAATTGTTCAATTACAACATGCTCAGCTCACAAAACAGCAAGAGCAAATACAGGACCTGGAGGAAAAGGTAAAATTGCTGAATTTTAATAGCAATTTCTAATCTAGGTGAAATTTCTAAGGGTTCAAGTGACTTATAAGAAGGAAAGAAAACCGCAGCTTACAGAAAGTTTTTATACAGTAATTTCTACATTATCTAATGACTCCAACTTTCAGCTTTCATAATCTCATTCCTATATATGAAAGATTAAGTTTACCAACAACCAAGGTACAATTATTTAAAGAGCCAGGATTGAGAACTCTAACTATATTTGAGTTTGCCATATTTAATGTGAGAATGCAGAGGATTTTTATTCACGTTTAAGGCTTGTTGCATTCAAACGAGCTTCATCAGAACATATGTTTAGGATTGCAGATTTCATTTTCTGTGTACCATAAGAGGATTCAATTACTGGGTTCATATATCATGCAAATTATAATTTGGTTTGTTTGGTCAACAAATTATGTGAATTCAGTCACTGTCTTGATAAATTATGGTTTATGGATTAGCATGTGTATGAATACCACCCATGTAGCTCTTTAAAAAGTCTAGTGTTTTCTAGTTGAAAGAATTTACTGCTCATTGAATTGGTTAAAGGAAGCTATCTTAATCTTCCAGATTTGGGCTGCAAATATTTGAACAACTACTAGATGGGAACAGAGTTAGTTTTCTCCAGGTATTTTAGCCCTAAAATGGCTATGTTTAACTTCATCACATGACATGGTTGATACTGCTGTCCCTAGTCAAATTAATTTTTTGCATAATGTTTTTCTTTCTTTCTGATAACTTTTCTTTGGCAGAAGACATAGCTTTCACTCAAGCATGCAGCTTCATAGTTTCATATCACAACTCTGAATGTAATATAGGTGGTCAGAACAGACATATGCAAGAATTTTTGTCCCCAAATTTTTTCCTGGCCTACAAAGATAAAGGGACTCTTGTCTTTCCCTCCCCGCCCAACCCTGATGCTCCAATAATTTGAGCTCCAAAGTGTTCTGAGAACAGGTAACCTGCCTTACTAATGAAGTATAGATATAGAAGTAATTTCTTTCTATTTTCAGATAAACAGCCCCAATTTTCAAGAGGACTCACAATTATTTTCTGCGAAGGAAGATGACAGACTTCCTAAATTGAAAAAAACAGCTAAAAATAGCAATTCTAGAGGTAGATGTGCTTATGGATTTTTTTTAAAGCAATTCTAGTGTTTGGAATACAGTACTATTTTAGAATACTGTTCTGGTGTATGTTTTGATACCAATAGTGTTCATGTAAGAAACAGATTTGATTGATTATGCTTATTATTCTCCCAACAACACTAAAAAGCATTTAGTTAAAAATAAAGGTGAGATCTGAAATAGAAAGTTGTGTCTTGCCTATCTCCTGAAATAAGATTAAGTGTTCTTGTTAATCCTTTCCTCCAAAACAAGACATTCTATTCAATCTCCCATGATTCTCTTATTGAAACAGCTGTACTAGCCTCTAGCTATTTTCTGGGTACAATTCAAAGTTCTGGCAAAGATCTTTAAAGTCCTGAATGGTTTGTTGTTGTCTATTTATGACTTGATTAACATTATTTTGTCTGCCAGTAATGGCTTTTTTAGGATTTTTTTAAAGTTCACATTTCTGTTAGTGGCACATTATCTTCTCTTCGGTTCCTTTTCAAATGCCTTTGATTTTTACAAGTATTCTGGATTTTCTTTAATTACTCTTTTATCTTCATATTATGTGACCAAAATTTTAGCTCTTTTATGGCTTCCAGAAAGCAATCAGATTTCACTTCATCTAGAACTGAATTATTTGTTCTTCTTACAAAGAGGCATTTTCAACCATTTTCTCCAGCACCATAATTCAAAGGCATCAGTTTTAATTAATTCAGACTTTCTGGTGGTCTAGCTTTTAGAAAACTGGAAAACCATGGCTTTGACGACAAATAGGAATGGCTTGAAGTCAGGACATTTGAAATATCAAACTGCAAATCCACAAAAATCATCTTCAGAGGACTCCTTGTTTGTCCCTACAATTCCAGAGAACCTTGATCTGCTTCATGCTATCAGATAGACCTGTCTCATTTCCTCACTAAAAGCTATGGGAAGTTATGAAAAAAAATATTCTCTTTGCCTTAGGATAGTCATCCTGCGATTTCCTGCTGCTGTTTTTATCAAACTGGCTTGTAATTTATTATTTTTTAATCACTGCTATATATCACATGACTGCACCCAACTTAAGCCATTTGTTTTTGCTGCAATCATTAATCAACACACTGTGGGTAGTTAACTGTAGTGTTATGTGGCCGTGACATGCGACTTCCTGTTGGCTTCCCCATTTACTTGTTGGAAGCCAGTGGAGAAGGTCACAAATAATGACCATGAGACACTGTGACTATAGTGAATCCTTGTTGGTTGCCAAATTTCCAAATTGGGACCATGTGAATGACTGTGAGGATGATGCAATGGTTGCAAGTTTGAGGACTAGTTGTAAATCTCATTTTTCAAAGCTGTCGTAACTTTGAATGGTCACTGAATGAGCATTCAGTAAGTGAGGATAACCTGTTGTCATGTCCCTTTTTTCATTCCACAAGATATTTAAGTACATGTGAATGTCATTCTCATAAGCCTTTATCTATTTCCAAATTTTAAAAAATATTAAATAGATTCAAAGTTTGTTTAAATTACTGCTCAAAAAAGTAATGTACATTCTGAAAATATTGCATAGATTTTCCTAAATTTCTGTTTCTTTTAGGTAATGCTACTGATTGTACTTGGATTTACAATGCAGGGGAAAGATCTAATGGCATTTATTCTATTAAGCCCAATGGATCCAAGGCATTTAATGTTTATTGTGAAATGGAAGGAGGTATGTCCTGTTACATTAGCAGTCTTCTTTTTAAAAATCGAATTCTTACCTTTTGCAAAGTGCTGACTTCCTTATATATTTCTTTATTAAACAAACTTGCTGTCACCATTCTTATTTGCTGAGAATGCAATTTTAATCAAATAATAAGTAGCACGAAGTTATTTGGATTTTTAACTATAGTCAATTGTTGTTTAGTTTAGAAAATATGTAAATCACTAAGTCATTGTCCAATTGGGTTAGACAAATGCATATTATAATTGTCTCCGAATAGAGACTAAATTGGATAGATTGAAGTTCATGCAGAAATGCAAATTCAGTCAACGTTGTGCAAATAATTTTTTTGTTAAAGTGTACTCCAGCTCTCTTCTGCATACAATCTGATGTACAGCATTCATACAGATATATTATACTCTGCAAGCTCTAAAAATGATTTAAAACAATCAAATGGTTGTATTAATAGTTTATCATCTTCATCCACAGAAAACCCATGGACAATTATTCAGAAGAGATCCAATGGATCAGTAGATTTCAACCAAACTTGGGAGAGCTATATAGATGGGTTTGGTAATCTTGATGGTAAATATATTTTACAGTTTTCTCGAAGTAACATTTATGTGTTTGTTGACTATAGTTTTTGAAAGGAGAAGAAAAACCCTAGACCAAGGGTCTTCAAACATGGCAAGTTTAAGACTTGTGGACTTCAACTCCCAGAATTCCTGAGCTAACATGACTGGAGGAGGAATTCTGGGAGTTGAAGTCCACAAGTCTTAAAGCTATCAAGTTTGAAGACCCCTGCCCTAGACGTTGGTAAATGAGATTACTTATTTGGTCTAAGTGGTTGGTCTCAGAATTGTTTACTCTTTTCCCTCCCTTCAACCATGTCTATTTAAATTCCTATGCACAGGACACCAGTCATATAAATTATTACAAGCACATTTAAATAGATTTGATTTAAGCAAGTACAGATCTAGTTAGTCATAAATGTAGATTTGAATAGATTCTATTAATGCACATGCTACAAACATTTCTGAAAGAGGCATGTAATTTGTTCCGTTCCTTTCTAAGATTTTCAGGTGAGAAAGAAATGGAATGTTAGGGTTTAACACTTTTTCCCTGGAAATAGTATAGAACAGAAATAAGGAAAAAGATGAGATTTTCAGCATCTTTGGAACCTGAGTCATTGAACACAGATTTGAAATTAGAAAAGTCTACAAAGCCTACATGACTGAGATCAAAGCCATAAGTTATAAACTTAATGGCCAGTTTGCAATGTAAAATAACAATTAATGAAGCATAGCTTGCTGCAGTGAAACTTGCTTATATAATAAATATATCCAGTTTTAAAGTTGCAAGACTGCTGTCCTTGCTGTAGCAGATTCATACAGCTATTCTGTTCAAACCTCTATTTTGTTAAGCAATGTTTTTCTCTGTTTCTCTTAAACATGCTGCTTATTCAATAAGGTTTACTTCTCAGGCTTATGCTATACAGTCCACTTAAAATGCTAAATTTATGTGTGTCATAATATTGCAAATGAACTCAATATCCATTAAGGGTATTTCTCCCCCCCCCCTTCAAAAATTATAGTATATATTTATATATACCACTTGCTTCACTTATTACACAGATTCACTTACATATATACTTTATTTAAGAATGTCTTTACCATCCTTTGCAGACTTTTTCAAAGTCTTTTTCTATTTATACTTAGCTTTAGTTTCCTGCTTTATTGTTCATTGATGAATATTGTAAAAGGGATAAGCCTTTTGTAGGTGATCCAAAGTTCAAGGACTTCCAAGACTCAAGCTGACTGTGTAATTCATGCAACTCTCAAATCTAGCACTAAAACTTGCATCTTCCTCTCGGATCTGCCTTAATTGTTCTGTTTGTCCACTTGTATTTTCAGGAGAATTTTGGCTGGGCCTTCAAAAGATCTATTCCATTGTAGATCAAGCTGACTACATTCTGCGTATTGAGCTTGAAGACTGGAAAGCTAACAAACGTTATATTGAGTATACATTCAAAATGGGAGGTCCAAACAGAGATTATGCGCTCTTTCTCTCTAGGATTACTGGGAATATTCCAAATGCTCTACCTGAACAGAAAGAAATTAAATTTTCTACTAAAGATCATAGCAACAGCACTGAAAGAAAGCTTAACTGCACAGAAAGTGACTCAGGTAGATATTTTCTGTATATGCCAGTGTTTTAAATTTTCTTATAATCTGGGAAAAAAGTGGCAGGGGGTAAGATTTTCATAAATGTACTATGCTAAGAACAAAACACTAATAATATAGTGAGAGAGGGAGGGAGAGAGGAAGGAAGGAAGGAAGGAAGGAAGGAAGGAAGGAAGGAAGGAAGGAAGGAAGGAAGGAAGGAAGGAAGGAAGGAAGGAAATGAAGGAAAAAATAAAAAACTATATATGAAAGAGGATTAAATGTCCCTTCAATTTTAAAAAAGTGTATTGCATGCAATAAGGTAGTACACAATAGACAACCCAATGTTTTAGCCCATTTCACATAATAGCTTTCCACAGATTGAGATAATTTAAAGAATATATCATGTTACTTTCTGTCAGCACAGAAAGCATTACCCTGAAGTTCTCCTGAATATGTAATTGTCTCCAGATAACCTGATTAGAAAAGGTTTTCTTCAAAATACAGTTGTTGTCATCTAGTTACCTTAAAAGGTTTTATGTATTTTTCCATGTGATTAATATATTGGTATGTCAATTCAATGATGTTTCTATTATGAACTTCAGGTGGTTGGTGGTACAATGTATGCGAAGAAACAAACCTGAATGGAAGATACATCAGGTCAAGCTCAAAAGGAAAACTAGAGAGGAAGAAACGGGGACTGTATTGGAAGCCTCAGAAAGGAAAACCTTATCTTCTCAAGTCAACCAAACTGATGATATATCCTACAGATTTTGAAACATTTGACTGAGCATTATCAAAGTTTACCTAAGAAACTGCAAGTACTTCAGTCAGATTCCAGCGACAGCCCTTTCTGGTGTACAAAGAAAATAACATTAATGATGTAATCAAATCATAATAATATTCTTCCTTTGGCTATATATTTCAGTGTGCTTTGTCCTGTTCCATATGGTCAAGAAATAAGCAGAGCTTTGGCTGTGAGACAAGGTCAATTATCCTTGAGGGCTACTTTAGTAGAATATTTCTTAGTATCAATGCTACCTCAAGAAAGACAGGAAAATGGAAAGTTCTCACACCTTCCTTGGAACAAGATTGTGCATTAGGGAGGGAAGGTGAATCGTCACTACTTCACTTCTGTGAAGTGTGGGATTGGGGAGGGGGGAAATTTTGTCTCACAGGATGAGGTAGAAAGTGTCTAATCAGATAAAGAATCACTATATTCATTTTTGCCAAGGATAGTAGTGGTCTCTATTCACTTCTTTGCAGGGAGATCAAACTGTTTGTTTTCAAACAGAAGGGCAGGGGACAGCAATCTTAATGCTTTAGGCACAGGGCGAGCTTTTTCTCTTTCTCTATTTAGTTTTATGCTTTATTTCAGTTCCCTAAAGCAAAATGTAGGCTGCTTTTTTGCATCTGGGAGCCACAGAGGAATGTATCCTTGGAGTTGTTTAACAAAAGAAAATAGGAGTATGAAGTTTAGTAGAGGCTTAACATATCTATTTTCTTCTCTTGTTTTTTTTTAACGAAACTATCACAAATATGATCTGGGCAAGGATTAGAGAGACTGGGGTTGGCTGCATATGGAATATAGACCATGGATTTTCCATCTCTTGTTAAAGCAGGAAGCAAAGGAGATGCCTAAAATTGGAAGTCATTTAAGGGGGAAACAGGCAAGTTATGTTGCTCCTAGCTGTACAGCTCTGTTCATAAAATCCAAGCAAGATCTTCCACTGAAATGAATTACATAAAACAAATGAGCCTCATGTTCAAAAAGTTCAGCTGGGACATAAACATTGTGCATTCCATTGGGATTGCACAACCTGCAAAGTGCACCCCTTTATTCATTTTTTTTCTGTATACAACAGCCTTTCCTAGCTTTGTGTTCCCTCTCTGTGGTGTCTACATATGTTGGGCTCATGTATTAAATAAACAGACTGGTTGGGAACCTGGAGTATTGCTCTGACATCCCTGACATTTACCCTTTGGGAGAAATGTGACTTCCTAAATATAAATATCTTAAATATCACCCTAGTGAACATAACTAGTTCTGAGAAACTAATCTCTAATGAGGGAAAACCAATATGTGTATTGTCTGCCACATTAAAACCTTTCACTGTAAGTCTAATATTCCTCCTCACTTTTCTAATAATATAAATATCTTTATGTCACAATGGCTTCTTAAAATAGGCTTCGACTAAGAAGATAACTTCAAATAGCTCCTTGTTATTTCAAAATTGTAAATTATAAATTATTGCAATTACAATACAGATAACTACATTATGGTATAGAATGCTTGACTTGTATTTTTGAATTTTGTTGTTGTTGATGATTGTTTGATAAACCACCACAAATATGTAAATGAATTGGTGGTATACCAGTAGAGTAAATGAAGGAATAAATAAGCAGGCTTCCTGTTAAAATAATATATACTTATATACATACACACATACACACACACACACACACACACACACACACATATATATATATGGTATTCAGCTTTGTTCGGGTATTTTCCCACGTCATTGTAGTTGTGCTTTTAAAGTTGTAGCAATGTTTCGGCAGAATCTCATCTGCCATCATCATATATATACACATACATACACATATACATTTCTAAAGTTCCTCCCAAATGTGAGGACAAATCCAATTATATACTTCACTGGAAGTATACAAAAATTGAATCAGAGTATCATGCTTATGCCATTAAATTACAGTATTTTGATGTCATTATCTATATAATTCATATTGACAATAATGTTAAACATTTAGGCCTATGACAGATTAAGTTAGAATAGTTCTGTGAGAAATTATCTCATAAATCAACTGCAATTCTGAAAACAACTGATGGTTTATAAAACCATGAAAATTACTTGCTAAAGTGGAAAAACAATCCTTAGATTTACACCAGCAATTTTGTTTTAATCAGTGGGCTTTCAGAGGGCTTTCAGATAGATGTAAACAATACACCCCAACTAAATATTTTTTTCTAATACATGCCAACAACAACATAGATTAAATGTGCACATTGCCAAAAGAAAAACTATGTTAATGGACAATGCATACAAAATATATGTTTCATGCTTGCAGTTCAAGTCTTCACAGAAATGTCTTTTTAATGTGAATTTTCTTTTTTAGACTGAATTATTAGTATTGTATCTGGGCAATTACATAAGATTGTATATTATCTAATTAAAAATCTGTACCCATTTGAATCATTTTAATAGTTCAATAAAAAGACTGTAGAGCTATATTTCATTTATACCATCTTTCAGTTTACAATAATAACCAGAGGTTTGTTTGGTGGTAATTATATCACAATGTGATACTAAAATATTATATCTATAATGAAGTATTTTAAAAGTCAACATAAAATGCCCATACAGTGCAGAATTCCATATCAAAATTAAGTGGCACTGTTTTAAATTTAGAAATCAGTGCTTTTAAAGCAAGGAAACATCTTTTAGCAGTTAGGCATTCTGATTCAAAATTTGTATCCTAAAATATCAGTTATTGGGGGACTTTTATCTGGAGGATAGCTATGGATGTTCAATATTATGACCAATTAAATGAAAGCAAAATAACATCACCTGATCCTGGGAAACAGTACTGGAGAGAAACTCTGTTGTACTCTCTCACTGCTTACCTGTGCATGGATATTATTTATTGCAGGATCAATGTTTGTGTGCCCCTGACAATGACCACCTGCCCTAGGACTGCTTTTCCAACAACGTTATTTCTCGATAGGTTATTTTTTAAAAAAAAAAAATCACTGACTAATGCTTTTTCTATCATTGCTTCTCACACAGCTGCTATCTGCTCTATCTCCAGTATTTAAGATTAAGAAATCTGGGCTGCAAAAATCTGGATGGTCACTAGATGGTAGCAATGAGTTCAGAATTTTCTCTCTTTAATGCTATCTAGGTTGGTTGGAAGTACAACAGCCCTTTCAAGAGACTGCGCTGGCACAAACAGCAATGAATACGAAGAGGTTCTGTCACACTACTGCTCACATAAACTGATTGTTCACACTGTTATTGCTGCTGGCAAGCTGAGATGGACTCCTGAAAACTGAGGCCTTTTCTTCATGTTGAAGAGTTTGCTTCCTATATGACACATGTTGCTCAAGTCAGAACATCTGGTAACACAAAGTACATTCCCTAACTATTTGCATTTGGGCTCTATAGAAAATCTATGAAAACACCTGTGGTTTCCCCCAAGCTTTTAACTATTAAATTATTTATCCATTTTAGTGTTATTTTAATAAGTTGTTCATGTTTATATTCTTTGTTTTGTGGGGGGAGTTAGTATCCTTGATTACATGGCAAAGGAGAAAGGTAGAATATCATCTATTAAATAAATGAAAAATAATAATTAAAGAAAATAACAACACAAAAGCAATTCTGTCCAAAGATATTAAATGCAAATTCTGCAACTACTGAAGAAAATCCATATTATATTTTCCTATATATTAGTCTGCTACCCAGAATCTTATTTAATATACTTGTTTGAGTGGACACATGTTATTACTATGCAGCAATCTATAAAATATAAAGAAGGGAGTTTAAATCTGCAACTAAATGAATAAGTAGCTGGTGGTTTATTCCTTCTCTTTGAAAGGTGAGACATAATTCAATTGTAAACCATAATCTCAATAGAAAAAAAAATCTGGCATAAAGTTTTCATGTTTTTATTATAGATATATTATTCGGTACCATTCTGTCCTTGCTAGGACTTTTACTCGCATTGATTTATTGCATACTACCTAATGGTTGGTTGACTGCAACTATTATCCCTCTTCCCCAATCCCTAAAACATATATAGTTGTAAGAGATAAAATTACCTCCCAAACGTTCTTCTTGATATGGCATTGAAGATGATTAAATTTCTCCTTCAGAAATTAGAAATTTGGCTTGCTCCCTCCAAGAACTCTCAAGTTTTAGAGAAGGTTGTTCCACAGGTTTCCCTAGCAAAATGCTTCTTGAAGAACTACTGCATTTTTTGATAATTTGTATATTATCATTCATAGTGGTCAAAGTGCTAAGCTAAAGAAAAAAAGTTTGGCATAGTGGTGAGGGCATCAAGCTAGCAATTGGGAAAATGTGAGTTCTAGTCTTGATTTAAGCACAAAGCCAGCTGGGTGACCTTCAGCCACTCATTATCTCTCAGCCCTAGGAAGAAGGCAACGGCAAACCACTTCTAAAATTTTACCAAAAAGTCCTGCAGGGATTTGTCCAGGCCGTTACCAGGAGTCAACACTGACTCAAAGGCGCATGTGCGCATATGCGCGCACGCACACACACACACACACACACTGAAGTGGTTTTAAATAAGATTATAATGAAAAGACCAAAGGTTTAATTTTCACATACTATTCAAAGCATGTGATACTGTTCTTGCTTTGCCTGAAGGGGCACATTGAAAATTGAAATAATAAATGCACAGATTTGATTAGCCAAGAGCTCAACAAATTCAGATAAACTAGCAAATCCATTAGGAAAAATTACTCTTTTCTGGCCCAGTTTTTAGAAGAAAGATCAGGCTGACATTTTATGAATATCAATTGATTAATATCAAAGGAGTTGGTTGGCTGATGTGGGAACAAAGATAAAAAGTGAGAAGCCCTTCTATCACCACAGTTGGTAGAAGAGTTAGAAGTTAGCTGAGGCTGCAGGAAGTTGTGCTAGCAAGTGATGACAAAACATCTAGCAAGCAGTCAACCCCTATACCAGCAAGCAGATCCCAATACCTTATTTGCAAAATAATGCTCTTAATCTTTATTTAAATGATCCTGTTTTCAGCATTGTAAGTCATTAACTGAAACAGGCAGCATGTCTCTCTAGCTGTCATATCACTTTCATAATATAACACTAGGATACTTAAGCATGATAAATGTCCATATAATTTGCAGCGGAAAAGAACTAAAGCACAGAAAGCTATCAAAGCTAATAGCAAACACCTGAATCTTCACAGATCAAAGCAGAGTTCATTTATTATATCTTTGCATCATCTAGAGCAGGGGTGTCAAACTCAAGGCGCGCGGGCCGAATCTAGCCGTTAGATCTGGCCCACAGGGCTGCCCTGGAAATAGCGAAGGACTGGCCCATGCTACATTTACCAGTGAAAACAGAGATCGGGAGGGCCGCACGCACACACCCCCAAGCTCCGTTTTCACTGGCAGAGGACTGCAGGAAAGTGTTGCAGCCAAAAATGGATGTCGAGCTGGCCTTGCCCAACCTGGCTATTCCCCCTGGCCCCGAGGTCAAACAGAACCCTAATGCGGCCTCAATGAAATCAAGTTTGACACTCCTGATCTAGAGGTTTTTTCTGCATTTTTCCAGACCCAATCTCGTACTGTACTATATATGTTCGCATATATGGTCATCCCCAGATAAGCTGATCCTAATCTTTTTTAACCAAAATACCATGAAAAATTCTCCAGCTGCACATAAGCCAACCCTCATATTGGTCATCTGTTTTAATTTTCACAATTGGCTTATCATAGACAATCAGAAGATTATCTATTTTTCATAGTACTTTGGTTAAAGATTACAGGGTCAGCTCATCCAGTGATGGGTGTATACACAAATATAAATGGAATACACAGGTACTTTAATTGACTCTATATATACAGTATATTGGGAAAACACAATTCCATCTAATTCAGAATATTAAAGGAATTGAATTATTTGCATATATCATATCAGCAAACAGATATATATATGTAAACAATCAAAAGGTTGCATCTCAGTGGTAAGCAGACAATTACAACTGGCATAGTGTCACAGTACCTTCCACAACCATAGTTCACTTTTGATTAAAGTGAAAATGCAATCCATTCTTGAACTAGTATCATTAACAATAGGAACACACAATTCATCTCACTTTTCCTTCATCGAAATCTTAGTGGAGTAGCACACTAAATTACGTTGCAGTCCTAGTACTTTTACTATAACAGGGGCATTGTATAATTTAAATATTCCATTCTATCCACACATATTCCCTTAGCAGTGATGTTTTTTTGTTTTGATCTAGTAGTGATATTACACAGCTAAAGAATAGTCGGAATCCAAGCAAAACAAGATTAATTCAACACTTATATCTTGGAATGTAAAGACTCAACGTTTAACTATTGAAATTAAATGAACACAAAAATAAATTCTGGTAACTTACCCTTCGGTGTCATAAGTGATCTTCTGAATATACTCTAAACTGAAAACCAGTGATTCAAATTGACTCTGATACAATTCAAAAACAACAGCATAAGGTGAACCTGGTTTAGGTTTAATGAGGAACATAAAAGCTATCTATATCAATAATTAGTCCATTATTGAAAAGGTAATTTGTCTCAATGTGTTCCACAACTTATATACAATTTGCATCAGCCAATTATGTTTGCATGAAGAATAGCAGAATATAAGATAAGTTGCCAAACTTAAATGTGCTAAAATTATCTTTTTTCTTCTTACCTGTAAGTTGTATTTGGAATATAAACATCTCTTGCAGGAAATTCCAAGATCTCTCTTGTTGGTCGAACTCTACTATCTGGGTAAAGTTTTACTTGCAACAGTTCTGGAGTTAGACAATAGTGTGGGTTCTCTGGGGCTGGAGAAATATCAATCTTCAACTGAGCTATGGAATGACAAATTATAGTATAATCAAACTTTAAAATAGCCATTTGCCTAGAAAACAAAAACTGATCTTCAATATGGTTTTCAGCAGTGATATGTACACTATACCTGTGATAGGTCTCAGGCGCCTTAGAACAGAAGAAGGCCTCTTCATGTCTGCAAGGAATTTGTATAAATCTTCATCACTCAACCTGTCACCTTCCTATAGTTGATAAATAAGAGAAGCAATCATTTCCAGCCATATAACAAGTCTCCACCAGTATTCCATGTTGTCCTCCTCTAAACAAGTCATTGACTTACAACCATTCATTTAATGACCATTTGAAGGTATAACAGCACTGAAAAAAAGTGACTTATCACAATTTTTCACACTTATGACTGTTGCAGTTTCCTGGGGTCGTGGAATCATCTTTTGCCACCTTCTGACAAATGAAGTCAATGGGGAAGCCAGATTCACTAAACAATTGTTTTACTCATTTATTTTCATAAACAGGCCCTATCCTTTTTTATTTTTTTGCATTATAAGCAAACCCAATAAAATAGATCAGACGGAGTTCAAACCAAAAGGAATACTACATGTTTTCTGCATTCTTTCAAAAGTGAGAAAAAACCTTTTCCTGGACTATCAGTACAACTCTTTTAACTTAGTAATTACTCCTATTTCATTGCATCCTTGGAGCTACTAAACTTAGAAAAGCATTAGAAATAGCCAATTTAAAATATGGTACACTTTCCTAATTAATGGTGCCACAGCCAAACTATGTTACACAAGGATGTTGGAGAATTCAGTGGAAAATGGTGCTTCAAACACGCTGAATGATGCTTATGACACACAATTTATCTCATTTGAAATCATATACATCAGAGTGAGAATATAAAGCTTAGTGTTACATGTCCTCTTGCGCTGACTCCACACATGAATTAGGTAAGGAGATAGAGGCAGGCTGAGAGGATGCACCAAACTCTTTCCCCTCAAAACTTTGTGGCTACCTTGATTCCTTCAGAGATGTATGTCTGAGAAAGTGTGAAATCACAGACCACTAATTAAATAGAAATGCTATACAAGAAAGGAGTTTCAATTTGCATTGGAAGCTTACACAGGTAAAAATAATATAGCTTTAATACAAGGATGGATGGAGACCAAGTTTGGTGTAGTGATGAAGGAATCAGGCTAGAAACCAGCAGACTGTGAGTTCTAGTCCTATCTTAAGCACCAAGGCAGCTGAGTGGCCTGGGGCCAGTCAGTCTCTCTCAGCACTCGGAAAAAGACAGCAACAAGCCACTTCTGAAAATTCCTGCTAAGAAAACTGAAGGAACTTTTCTAGGCAGTTACCAGGAACCAACATTGACTCCATGGCACCAAGACAAAAGAAAACAAATAGATTGGATACCTCCAAGCTATGCATCAATACTTGTCAACAAGTCTCACTGTATTTCTACAATCCATAATCTTGGTTAAGAAAGTTATGGAATAGGTGCTATTTATCAAATATATCACCAAAATATAGCTTATTTTTACCTATCTAACTCATGGAGACTACCTTGTTTCTATCTGATGTTACACTGGCTTTTTTGTGCACATATGTGAATACAATTTATAGTTTTTGAAGGCCTAATGAATAACGTATTATAAAATAACAACAATAACAACATATGGCTAGTTGTAGCAAGTGTTACTATATCAAGAATGGCAGAATACCTGTTTAAAAAAGTTTGTCACTGTCAGAGTAGCTGGTCTAAAGTTAGTAAGGTTACAGGCCTCGTCCCCACTCGTGGTTCTTTCTAGAGAACGCCTACCAACGATGCTAGAGTTTCTTCTTTCAGACCAAGATCCTTTGCGTTCTTTAAAAAAAGAGAGAGAGAAATAAAACTTTTATAATTACTTTTGAAGGCTAGCTGTATGAACTTTGGGAAAAACAAGATAAAGAGACAGTTATGCCAATACAATTTTACTCCTGAGGCATGAAAAATGCACAAAGCAGTAATTATCCTTACTTGCCTCACAACAACCACACCAAGTGGCTTGTGATTATAAATCATATGGCAATTTATGTCTTTGTTTCTGAAAAAAATGATGAAGTTAGTCATTATGAAAGATATGGGTGATTTAGAAATAGGAAATACAAACAAGTAAAATTCTGAATATACTGAATACTAGTATCCAACAATACTCCATGATACTTCACGATAATAATCTCCCTCTTGTAGAATATGTTCACCAGCCAGTAACACTTTCACAGAATTAGCAGAATAGTTTTAGAAAACAGCAGATGGACTAGGAATAAAATCCCTAAAATATCATTCTATTTGTTATTGCAGGATTATCATTTTATTTCATGGGTTGCACACAAGGATCCTTAGCAACCCTGGTCTTCAGTTGGTGCTGGTCAATGCCAGGTTGATAGAATAAAGCAGTGACAAGATCTATGATCTCATAATGAATGAGACAACTAATTTGAGATGAAACATTCAAACCTGGGTAATCAAAGTGTGTGATCACCTCTTGCATATCAGATATGCTCATCTGAGTTTTGGTTTTGGCACCAGCTGCAACCCCAGGGATTGGAGTAGCAACAGTCATCCAAATGCATTAACAACTTTCAGAGGATCTATACCATAGATAACATGTTTTGAGATCCTAGGTGGTCTCTAGAAAACAGATTGGTTTGTGAATGTTATACTGGCCACTAAAGCTTGCTTCCGTTATCAAGTCTGCGGGCGGAAATCTGCAAAACTGTTAATTTGGGGAAATGTTAACTTGCCCTTATGTGCCAGAGTAGTTATGGCCAGTGTGGCAACCAGGGGTCTGAACCAAATTTCTGAGGGTCCAATATATGCATTAGGAGCACATATTGGATCTACTTTTGGCTTGCTAGTGCTGCCCTCTGTCCACGGAAAAGTCAGAAGCTACATGATTCGTCTGTTCCAAGTGACTAACAGATCCAGATGGATTTCAGAAAGGCTGAGATTTCTTTTCCTGGGGATCTGATGATGGTCTTAGTCTCCATCTGAAATAGATGTGCACTGAGGGTCTTGGGTCCAATCAACATCAATGCATTTTTCTGTGTTTGAATGCCATAGTACTCCTTGGTATTCTAAGGGGTTGTGAATGATAGACTAGTAGAAGAAATGCCTAGATCACTACTGAAAAAGGACAAGAGGAGAATCAGACCAAGCATATGTAAGAAACCATATAAGAGATTATACTTGGTGCTAAGAGCAGGAAAATGTAGTTATTCTTCTCTTAATGCTTATTCCTAGTGGGTGAAGTTTTCCTGGAAAATAATGTAAACTTGGATCCATGAAGTGGTAAACATGTTGTTGAAGTAGTTTTTATTCTCTGTGACTAGTTCCAGTTTATGTTGACAAGTGGAAGGAGGTCTATCCAACCACATGGTTTGCATGGTATCTCAGGGCTTCATACTCTCATCTCCCCTGTTTATCATCTACTACATGAAATTACTGCCTGTTATTCAGCGACACGAGATAAGATATCCTCAGTAATGTTATCCCATAGTTATGCTATGTCAATTCATGTCTGTGTCTGAAGCTGCCTGGACCTAGATGGGGAGTGACAAGCTAAAGTTTACTCCTAAAAAGACCTAAAATACTTATGGGTATACAAATTGTCTGGTCCTGTTGATTTCTGATCTTTGGCTCTGAATGGAGTTGCACAGAGCTGATATGTATGGTACTTATCCTGAACTCATAATTCCTGCCTGCTCAATAGTGGTAGGTTCTTTGTACAGAATCATCTAATGCACCAATTGTTCATCTCTCCTCATGGTCGCTCATATTTGGTCACATCAAATGTGGATTACAGCAATGTGCTCTACATGAAGCTACCTTTGAAGACCACTTTAAATCTACAGCTCATGCAGAATGAACAGCGGAAAAAGTTTATGGATACATCTTGATAACTCCTTGAAATATCTCTATGTGAATGTTGCAACTAAGCTTCCAGTTGCAAAATGGTGGTCACCAACGGTAAACTCCTTTATGACATTGAACCTGGCTGAGAGACTGCCTCTCTCCTTATTTATTTCTGCTCATTCTGTACTTCAAATCTCATTCAACTGGCAGTATCATAGGGTCTTCGCTGTTCCTACCCTTTGGGAATGGCCTTCAAGCATTTAAGCATTTCTTTACAAACTGTGTTTTCCCACAAACTCTGATAAGATAGGTTGGTGATATGAATATTTGAAATATTTGGCTAGTTTTTGTAAAGATATGGCTTTTCCCCTTTTACGGGATGTTCTTTTTGTCTTTATTGTTTTTATATGTTGTGTTGGTTTTAATTGTATGCAAATTGTGTTTTTTAATGGTTTTTACAGTTTTTTTATTGTTTGTAATGCTGTTTGTTTTCATGTATCTGGTTATTTTTGCACTTTTCTGTGTGTTTTTAACTTTATAAGCTATCCAATATCATGTATGTGAGATGGATAGCAATATAAACTGAATAAATAAATAAAATACCAGCCAACCAGTTTGTCTTTGAGTTGAGGTAGCTTTAGGAAGGGAAGGAGGGAGGACTTAGTAAAAATGAAAAAAAAAATGAAATGCAAGTTAATAAATATGTAGTGTATGGCATATTCAATCCAAGCTCTGTGACAGTCAAAAAAATACAACAATAATTTTACATTTTGCAGAAAAATAATTAGTATGTGCTTGGACAGTTCTATATTATTACTAGATTTTTATTGTATGTGTATGTATAGCAACAAATATACCTAATACTTCTGTTTCCTATTTTCCCTACAGTAAGAAACCAGTGAGATGAGCTGGGCTGAGAAAGTATGACTACCTCAAAGTCACCCAGTCAGCTTTCTTGCCTAAGGCAAGAGGGCTAGAACTAACCATTTCCTGTTTGTAGGCCAGCGCCTTAACCACTACCAAACTTAGCTCTCTGTTCTATGAAAGCAAGAGCTAATCTATTTCTGGAAGAGGTTGATATACAGCAATATTTGCCCTTTTTGTCAACTTCCCTTTTAGTCTCCCCCAACAGCTATTTGTACCTTGCCCTAATGCTCTACGCCTTTCATAAAGGCTTAAAAACTTGCCTGGGCTCCTGGCCTCTGGTGCTGAATAAGTTAAGTACCCAATTTCTTGGCTATATTGCTAAGTGACCAAGTATTTTGCTCCTATGTATATTTAATCTGGATATTTTAATGTTTTTATTGGTTTAAAATGTTTTTAGTATTTTTAATTAGCAGCTACTGAAATTGAAGGAAAGGTGGAAAGAAGGAAAAGAGCGGGGAAAGAAAGAAAGAAAGAAAGAAAGAAAGAAAGAAAGAAAGAAAGAAAGAAAGAAAGAAAGAAAGAAAGAAAGAAAGAAAGAAAGAAAGAGGGACGGAGGGAGGGGAAGAACAAAATAGAACAAACTTGGATTAAGATAAGGGAAGGGGAAGA